GAATTTTTTCTTTTATATGATACCTTTATTTTTATCCTACATTGTCCTAAATTAATTAAATAATTTTTTCGAAATAGTCATATTTTTTAAATTTCGAAGTCCTTTTAAAAAATACCCTGACGTCAGAGAGATAAACTAAGTACGCACTATATTACTATAATTTATCCATAGTTTTGCGAATATATTAATATTTTGCGTGTAAAATAAACCCAAAAGGCAATGAGTTGGGATTCGCTGAAGCAGATGAAATTGAGGCACTTCTAATCGACTATGAAAAGCCTTATACGAGTTCGGACATAATACCAAATGTAGCCATTATCTCCTCCGAAATAGAAAACGTCGAAGATGATACTCCAACGGTTTCAACAAGGGCTCGGTCTACAAATTCAACAGCCACAACAATGCGGCCATTTGGAATCCATTGAGGGGTATCTTTAAAGTAAGGATGCAATTTCAATATCGATGTTTCCAAACATCGATATATCGTTCATAAACATCCATAGTTTAACATCGATGTTCAGACCCCAAAAAGAACGATACATCGTTCACTGATGAAACTTACTGGTTGTCTGTATGAGGCGATTTTACCAGGCAACTTTTAGTTGAAAGCACCAATCGCCTTGTGTTAACGGCTTTTCAGCTAATCCCGTTAAATGAAGTTGGTCAGCACCCAATTTTTATTTAAACTAATCGCCTGTGAAATCATGTAAACACCCCGTTATGCATCTGCCAATGTATGTACATTGCTTGGAGGTTTGCACCGGCCTTTACATTTCTCCAAACCACAGATTGGTGGCCGTAGTTGGTTTAAGCCACCGCTATCTGTATGCCATTTGCATCATTGACTGATTCTACTCTACAAAAATTATGCATGTTTTTCACAGGCAAAGGTAAGTGGCTATGCATTTTCACTATTATCTTTAGCAATTCATATCTATCCTGGTATGTTTCGGTTAATAGAAATCAATCATCTGACGAATCTGAGATGGAAAATAGCATGGGACGCGATATTTGGAAACCACAAACATGTGTACACCGTTTCCGTGTTTATACAAAATCGCTATGCTCTACTTGCCAATACGGTTGTTTTTAGAGGCTGAGGCAACAATACTCCAGCAGATAAAATATATATAAATAATTGTTTTTGTGTTCTGGTTATTATTATGCTAATAATTAGACTTAACAATAACATCAGTGCATCCTTCATAAACATCGATATGTTCGACATAGAGGTCTTAAGTGAAAAGCAAATTTTATTTAATTTGTTATTTCATATTTTTATTTTAGAAACTTTACTCGGCTGGTATTCCAAATTAAGCAGTCATGACCAGAGCTAAGATGTCTGGCACCTACACATCTTATATGCACGCATCTTATGATTATAGATCTATGTATAAAAAAGAGTACAAATTTAGCAATTATTGCATTTAAAGAAACCTTTGCTACAAGAAAGAAACTCGTCTACAAACCCAATGACTCCAGGAAAACCAGTTCGTTCATAAAAATCTCTTTTGCACTTCATTGCTTCATCTTCCGACATTTGAAACTTAACCCAAGTTTTGGAAATTTTATCTTACATCCGATCCAAAACTTCGGATAGAATTTTTTAACCGAGAGTTGAGCCAGCGGCAAATTAGGGCCGTTTGTTCAATGTCCGGTTAACACAAACCGGGGGTAAAAGCTCGTGTTTTTTTTAGTTCTAAATTCAATGGCAGGGGAAACTATTCCCAAACGTTATTCCTCCAAGTATGTTATGTTTCGTTACTACATTTATTTAAAATTATTTTATGTATATAATTTTATTATGTCGCATTTCATTTAATTGGATGAATTGCCGTTTCCAAATATATTCAGCCCATGATTCAATAATACAAGGTTCGATAAACTGACAGTTGTCTCTCTCGCACCGCTCCCTTAGCTGTGGCACCGTGTTGCTTCTTTGCAAATTTACATGGAAACAGTGTAGCTTTGGTGTGAAATAAAAGTAAAAGCTTTTGTGCAATATGTTTATGTAGATATGCATATGAAGCATATTTAACTGATGAAAACATAAGCAATGGACGTTTACATCAATCTCATAGTAGTCTTATTTTAATTTTGAGTCATTTTGCAGTTTTTATACGGCTAAATAGCATATAAATTACGTAATTCACGTAGATATATCAATATTACGTTCAACATTTCGTTTAAAATGCCAGATTTCCTACATACATTAGAATTTACGAAAGGAACTTCACTACTAATTGCCTACTTTGCGTACTTCTCTACTACCATTTTCGAAACAAGGGATTGCATTCTTGCCCTTTCTCTGGCCTTCGTAAATGCAGCCTTTTGTAAGGGAGTGTCAAACCGCAGCTGTCAATAATTATCTAACGTTGTATTATTGAATCATCTATTCATCCTTATCCTGAGTTTCGCCCGAAAACAAAAATTCACCCGAAAATTGTTCATCCGCCTATAGTGAATACACGAAAGCGTAAAGTGAAAAGTTAACCGTTCGGGGAAAATAATAACGCTGATTTTCTCTGAACTGGTGCACTTCAAGGCATATTCAACATGGTAGAAGTGACAATTCAGTCGAGCTCTCTCATACCTGACTGTAATGTCAAAAAATGTAAACAAAGAAATTAACCCTCTGTTATGCATTTACCACATTTGATAGAACTCAACATCTTTGAAATGAAAGTTTTTTGTAAATATGAAAATATTTAAAATCTCATTAGAATCAGCTTCATTTTATTTATTGAATTTTCTGTTTAATGTAAATGTGGAAATACATACTTACACAAAATTATATACTAAATGAAACACACTCATTTATAAAATCGTTTTGAAAATTTTCTTGCCTGCACTATCCCAATGGTTTTGAGCATTTATTTTTTTATTCAAATACTTAATTCTAAAGTATATTAGACATTAAAAAAAGTTTGATTCTTCTAAATTTACATCAGAACTTAACTTCAATAATTTAGCTATTAAATTTTTGGTATTCGAAATTTCGTTTCCATTAAATTTATTAAAAATTACCTTCAGTTTCTTTATGTCAACAAGGAATACTGGTTTAGGTTTTATCAGACCACTATTTGAAATTTGGCCTATCCATGTACATTAAAGTGGTCCAAAAATGTATGTAAAAAAAATAAGGTCGCATTTTTAAAGCCGCCAGCCCCTAGGATTGTTCTATGCCAAAAAAATATACCCCTATTTTTTTATTTTGAAAGAAAATAACAAATTAGGGTGTGCTCAAAGCGCTCAAAGTTTTCAATGTATTTTATATGGGGAAAAAACAACTTTTCGTAGAAATAGTGTAGAATTCTTGAAAAGCAATATTTTTCGATCGGAAAGGTTTTCTTATCTTCAGGACATTCCCGGTAATAATACCCAATTGTTCCTTTAACAATTTTTTCATGGTAACTATATTTTATAGGTCCTAGAAAATGCAATGGGGGGACCAATAAAAAATCGTTAATCATAAAATGGTTAAAAAAATAATTGGATATTAATATTTGAAGTCTCCTGAAGAGAACCACTGTTTTACGATTGAAAAATATTGATTTTCAAGAGTTTTATACCATTTTTACGAAAACTTGTTTTTTCCCCATATAAAATACATGGAAAACTTTGAGCGCTGTGAGCACTCCCTAAATATTTTTTGTTTTCAAAATGAAAAAATATGGGTATATTTATTTTCGGTTCAGAACAATTCTAGGGGGTGGCGGCATTAAAATTCCGACTTTATTATTTTGGACCACTCTAATGTACATATGTATATGATATGTATATGCACCTGGGACCAAACGCGTCCACTTAGCCATACTCGGCTGCGATAGGCAACAAATAAAGTCACGAACACACGTGAAGAGTCTCCTAATGAAACATCGCAGCAATTTGCCCACCGTTGTCGCTTCACTTGACAATTCGAAGGTTTAAAATAGCGCGCAAGTTTGTTGTCCAGGCTCTTGACAAACACAACGCACCGCTCGCAATTCCTTTTCATTTTATTATGTATTTAAAATCAGTCGCACAGCTCCCAATTGAAAATTTATATAAAAAAAAAATTTTGAATAGTATAGGGTTAAGAGTTGACATTTCAGTCGCAGTTCAAAAGAGAGAAATGTCGAAATCACTTCTACCTTGTTATGCCTTGGTGCACTTTTAGTTTTTTGTTCCCGTGTATTTACTATGGGCGGATGAAACATTTTCGGGTGATTTTTTTTCGGGCGAAACTAGGGTTGCCAACATTTTCTAAGAAATTTATAGTACTTTTTAAAACAATTAGAAAACATATAGTACAGTTCAAATACAATATATTTTTTTTTAAGAAAAATTAAAAATGCTTTTTAAGTGTACATTTCCTGTATAAAAAAAAAATTTCTTTGCAAGTATCATATGCCTTATCGCTATCAATATTTAATATAAATCAAATGTACATTTTTTATTAGTGAGATATTCGCTTTATTTCTCTAATCTCACAATTTTAAAATCTAAATTAAAAAACTATTTCTTTGAATGCCGAAGTTACAGAGCATAAACGAAATAATTTTAAGTAAATTTGGTAAATCTTTCTAAGTATTTTTAAAAATATTGCCCTTTTTGATCTGTTTGTTTTAAAGTATATATTTTTTAATATTGATACTTCAGTATAAATGTCATCCATTTTAAAACATTTCTTTCTTACAGATGACTGAAGTATATTTATTTTATAATTGAAGAAATATAGTATTTTTGCATACTATATTTTTTTCCAACAGTTCATAGTGCGCAGACCCAAAAAATAGTACAATACTATATATTTAGTACGGTCGGCAATCCGAGGCGAAACTGAAGACAAGGCTGATACATTTTTATCAAAGAATTTTATTTCAAACTAGCTGTACCTTGCGCGCGTTGCTACGCCACCAACTAAAATAAATATGAAGGAAAGACATTACACAAATATTCAATTCATTTTGAGTCCTTTTATTGATTTTGTTCATTTTGAAAAAATTCTGACATTGCAGCGTTTCGTTTCAATTCGATATTTATTGAAGTGCTGTGGGATACACAATATTTTTTGTTTTTCCATCTGGTGCGTAAACGAATAAATCGGAAGGTTTTCCGACGCGTGAGCAGGCCACATAGCGCTGCTGAGAAGCATGGATTCTCCAAATTTAATCCACACACTTGCAACGATTGTGCTTGTGCTTTGTTGATAGTCATTGCGAAAGCGAGTCGCACCGGGAACTGCAAACGTTTGAATTCGAATGGCATATCTGTCGGGATCATTGGAATGCGCGGCAACCGTACGACTTCGCCTTTGAATTTTCCAATCAAAATTGTTGCTTCGATAACATTGTTCATCATTTTCTTGACTGAGAGTCTGGTTCCGTTGCAAAGTCGTGGTGGACTTATGCTTCGAAGAAGAATGATGGGTACGCCAATTTTCAATGTTAGAACGTGCAGTGGCATGCCTGGCAAATCAAGCGAATTCAAGAATTCAGTTGGATAGTTGACAACTTCGTCTTGATTCACCACAGTATCGATGGACTTATATATTGTCGTTTCGCCGGGTATTCCATTCTGAATAGTGAAGTTGATGGTATTGACATCGGTGTTTTTAGCCGCTAATATAGCAGTGCAATCTTTGGGAATACCTTTTGCACCAATTCGGCTATGCTTTCTGTGATCCTACAGAAGTTTGCTGGCAAGGTGATACATTGTGTAGAATCATCAATTTGCATTCGCCCATTTCCAATATCCATTAATTGTTTTGCAAAATTACCAGCCGATGTATTTCGTTGTAGTTGTACACGCATGTTGGTTTACAGAGTCAATTTCTGTATATGACGCCATAAAAGTGATGATTTGAGACATGCATTAAGTTCATCAGCGGGTGTTGAACGTGGTATAACCGGCAGTGTTTGTGGAAAATCACCAGACAATAAAATGAGTGCACCACCGAAGATCCGTGTGTTTCCCCTCAAATCTCGCAGTGTACGATCAAGCGCTTCCAATGCTTTCTTATGAGACATTGGGCCGTATGAATAAAAATAAGCAATTGCTTTTTCTGAAAATTTCAAATCTTTTACTTAATTTATTCAAACAAAATTAGAGTAAAAGGTATGAAGTTTTAAGAAAAAGCAATTGCTTAGTTTTTATTCATACGGCCCATTGTACATTCGTCCCATATGATAATTTGACACGATTGGAGTACTTTGCCCATCCAGAGTTATTACTGATGTTGCATGTTGGTGCCTCAGTGTTTTGCAAATTCAACGGAAGTTTCAATGCTGAATGCGCTATTCGATCACAATCCAAAAGAGTTGCCGCAATTCCAGATGATGCAATGGCCAGCGCAATATTATTGTGTGATCGTATGGCTGCCAAAATGAGTGAAAGAAGAAAGGTCTTGCCTGGACCACCAGGCGCATCTATGGAAAACAGTCCACCGCTTTGTTCTGTGATTGCACGCATAATTCTGTCATGCGCAATGCGTTGTTCTGGAACCAACTGCGGAAGATTTGTCTGAACAAATGTTTCCAGTTCGTCAGAATCAAAGTGTGTTTCTCGTTGCAAATCACGATCGAAAATGTCGTTCGCTGGTCGGTTCTGCCTGCTCCCAGTAGCAAAAGTGCTTTGTTAGCGATTGCCAAACATACGTCTTCAATCAAAATCAATGCCTCATTATACACGTTTGGTGTGAATTGAATGTCCAGATTTTGGTTCGCAGCGCGCAAACGATGTAGAATATCTTCACTCATGTAGTCCTTGTATTTTTCCCAAAGTTCTTTTGGATTAGATGGGAAGCAGGTTGTCAATATTACGGCAAATAACGTGCGCAATTTGCTGTGGTCGCGCAGTATTATATGCATCTGCGAGCGCAGTGTCCCAATGTGCATCATTCTCAAGAATATTTAGCTCCTGGCAAGCTTGGCGATAAGTGGCACACAGCTGACCGTTGCCTGCTCTTAAATCTTGGAAGGATTTCGGTCCACGTACATTGATTAACAGCAATCGCAGATAGAAGCACTCTGTATTGTTCGGGTGAACAGTGTACAGACGACCCAATGCGTCACAGGAATACAAATTGGGATGTCCTTCAACTGCTTTACCTTGTTTGCGACGTTGAATTCCATGTGTAGAATTTCGGTACCTCAGAATAAAGTAGAGTCTTTGCAAAAATATCATCCTGGCACAGTGAGTAAAATTCAGTTAAAGTTGTTGCCGGTGGAACCAATGCTCTTGCACGTATATTATCTGCTGTGAAGTACACGCGCTGTCCATTCTCGAGATGTACCGCTAAGTGTACTACTGTTGGATGTCGTTCATGGATTGAAAATGATAAGATGCGCCATAGTGCTTCATTGCTGCTAATGTAGCGTCCAAGTTGGTATTGGTTGATTTCATCGAGCTGTGCGGCCACATTCCCTACTCCGAAGACTGCCATGCCGCTTCCTTTGTTGACATATTTGCAAATGTATTCGAACGACTTCAATGAATTGCAATACTCAACATTAATGTGTGCTTTGAAGGCCTTTGAGAACAACGGTGAACATGGCACAACCCAACGATTATCGACTTCAACATCAACGTTTCGTACTTTCAGAACGATGGATTTGCCGCCATCCTCAACTGATCGTCGACGATACAGTGGGTATCCGTCATTGCCAGTGATGGTATCAGAAACCAAGTTTCTGGGGTATCGTTTCGTGCATGTCCTATCAGACATGCATGGAGAATTGTAATTGAATGCGCCACATGGACCATGGATCATATCTTTGGTAAGGACGTCGAATAAGTCTAGATCAATGTCCTTATCTGGTATTTCTGCTGAGATGATTTGGTCAATTTGATCTGGCGTAATTTTGTTGATTAACCAAACCGAAATATGTGCATGTGGCAATCCTCTTTTCTGTCATTCAATGGAATACATCCAGCATCGTGTCTCTCAAAAAACGTGATGCTTGTTAATAAAATCCATCAAAGCTTTAAATTTTTGTTTAAATACGCGTGCGGTAATATCAGGGCGGTCCGAAGATGATTGTCCAGCTAACAGAAGTTCTTTAATTCCATCCCATATTGATTGCACGTGAATGTGATGAACAAATCTGGACGGCCATATGCGCGAACGTATGTCATCGCATCTTGTGCGTATTCATGCATGTGCCGTGGACTGCCCGCGAATGTAGACGGTAATATGACCATTCTTCCCAATTCATTTGGATTCACATTACCATCAATAACGATTGCGTCTCGTAAATGGATGTACTCTTCAGAACGCAACTCGGTTTGATTCAATCGAATATATAGGAGTCGTTCGGTTTCAATCTACGCGTACATGTCGACGATGTATTGATGGAACAATTGTCGATATTTCAGAATGTGGTTCTCAGCGTCTTGACGAATCATCAATCGATACGAATAATAATTCATGGCACTGACTTTCTTATTCGTTTCCTCGTCTGTTTGTGCATTTTTCATTTTGATGTTGAAATGATATCCATCTTCTCCTCGACAAAACAGAATCGGATACTGCAATCCGTCGTATGAACGATGAGTTTCGGATACTCGCTGAACGTCACCATTTCTACGATGAAGAATTATGTCGCGCGATTTGAATTCTTCGCCAACTATCACTATCGCCACTTCATTGATTGTTGGTGCATTGAACTGTCTTTCGTGTTGGGCAACGGGTTGCTCGACTTACAACTGCGTAGTCATCGGCTGGCATTCCTTAAATGGCGGTTTTAAACAACTGAACTAATTCATTGTGTTGATCGAAAAGGGCTTGTAACGCAGCCACGATTTCTCGTCTAGTGCCCTCATTGCAATGGCATCATTGTTCAATTTGTTCATCACTGTTGGCCATGAAATAAATTTGAAAAAACTTGTGATCTGCGTCCGGCAATGGTAGAAGCGATTCGACACGATGATAAATTTGCCCTTGGACTCTGAATGTTGGCATGTAATTTTCGCGCACGATGTTCGTTGCACCGAACGATGTCATTTGAAAACCTGAATTGTATTTGCGGATGTTTTCCAAGAAATGCTTTGACTCACGTGTAACACCTGATAGCAACGTTGATAGTGGTTCGGGTGGTGGAGGTAATTCTGGCAGTTTAACTTTTCCACTGGCGCAGCACATTCCTGGCGTTTCGTTCTTAAATTTGAGGACGCTACAATACATGCAAATTTTATCAATTTTTCCAATGTTGACACTTGGATGAAGACTGTAATATTATTACTGTCATAATGGAATGCCCCAAGATTTAAATCAGCGTGCAGGGTTCGTCTTGATCGAGCGGTGCTTATTCGAACATTTTGCAGCCTTCTTTCCCGTTGTTCAGTTGTCTCAGACGAACGGGCCTGAGTAGTACGTTTTCGATCAGCTTCTAACCTCACTTCTTGTTGTTCAGATGATTCAGACGAACGGGTCTCAGCGGCATATACTCGAAGATTTTCTAGCCTTAATGCTCGTTGCTCGTCTGATTCTGAGGCTCGTAATGCTATTTTCTTCCGTGCTTGAGGTGTAGATCGGCTTGTCGCTTTGGACGCATAATTGTACGGGAACGACGTGAAAAATGCGTTTGAATTTATAAGATGTCAATCAGCAAAACTTTATTGCACAAATAAATTGCCACAATATTGAACAAATTTTAATTGTATTTTAACTACAACACGATATTGCTCTGAAAACCTTTATAGTAATATTAACAGTTATTATATTTTGCCTACTTATCACTGCAGAGTGCACATGCTTACTGCGGAACTGTTTAAATTTTTAATATTTTTAAAATAGGCCCACAATATTTTGCATATTCTGATCTCAGTAAATAAACCCTAACTAACATACCTACCTAGGAAACATTTAAATGCCTTAACCAACATCTATCTTTATATACATGAATAGATACTGGAGAACCCTGTTTACCTACTTTCTTACGCAAAAAATTTAATAGAGCCCAAATACATACATATGTATGTGTTACAGCTATGTACCTGCGTCCTTAAGAAAATGCATTATACTGGAAAACAATTTATACTTTCTTGCAAAAGTGATTAGGGCTAAAAATTTTTTTGTGGAAAAATTTAAAAGAGCCCAAATTAAGCAATTAAGGAATATTTCTTGCTTCCGAAATTTGTTTTACATACTAAACATCATTCCAGGAATTATTACAATTTTTTGGAATGTTGAAGTTTCTGGCTCTCTGTGAAAAATGTTGGTCGCTATACACTGTAGCCGTGGGTAACACAGTGCGGCGCCGCGCCATTACGCTGATACCGAGAGCTGAGTTACTGGCGCCGAAACCGATTTTCACAACTCAGTGACGCAATGGCGCCAGCAACACCGGAACACCGGGCGGCGCAAAGAACCAGCAAAGAACACACAAAAGCGAAGTTTCACTTGTAAAATGTGCACCACCAGGCGAATTTTTACAAGGTGGTGTTGCTAAAATTAGCCGCGGTCCTTCTGAATGTGAAAATTATGTGTTTGTTGTATTTTTGGGTTTTGATCTTGGGTATATTTGAGTTGTTTTTGCCCAACCGATACCACTTTGTATTAATTCACCTTAGTTCAACACCGGAACACTGACAACACCGCGTGTCGCAAAGAACCAGCAAAGAACACCCGAAAGTAGAAGTGTCTCTTGTAAAATGTGCAGCACAAGGCGAATTTATACAAGGTGGTGTTGCTAGAATTCGTCGCGGTCCTTCTGAATGTGAAAATGATGGGTTTGTTGCATTTTTGGGTTTTGAACTTGGGTATACTTGAGTTTTTTCTCAACCGATATCACCCAGCTTTAGCCTGAAGAGGCGCAATTGCGCCAACACACTGTGCTGATTCCGACAGTGGCGCTGGAGTTAGTGTGTCAGCGCCAAAAAATTTGCGCCGTTACCCAGGCCTACTTTTGATATGTTCAGGTGAAGCGACAGACAACAGTCATCATCAAAAACATTTGCAGACAGCCCACATAAATTTATTATTTTTTTGGTTGAAGGTGTTTCACATTTCCATACAAAAGTATGTTCGACAATTTTCTTTTATATGGAGGACACGGCCAGCAAAAAAGGTTGCTAAATATTAACTAGTTTTTATAGCATTTTGAAACTTGCACTTCATTATACTAGAATTAAATTGTATACGAAACTGCATACCAAAATTCTGATTAAAATTCTGATTAAAAAGTTTGAAATTTTGGTGAAAATCACAGTATACAGTAAACCAGCCATTGACAATATGCTTATTTGAAAATTAATACATGAAATATTGTGCATGTATAGGATTCTTTTGTCATTAACCCATAGGCAATGACTGGTGCAAAAGTACCCACAAATGTTTGTTGATATATTTGAAATGTAAATTTTGACAGCGAAATTCGTAAAAAATATAATAAAACAAAAATATTGTTGATTACTACATGGGAGGTGGTCGTGGTTATTGACAGGTTTCGCAAAAATTTAATACTAACCTACAAATTTAATACTAGCATACAAATTTGTGTGAAGAAAACGGAATCGGAATGTGGTAATGTTGAGAAACTGCGCAACGAGGTATATGCCCTGACCGAATAAGTAAATGCCTATGAGAACAATCTAATATCATCGGATGTTATTGTTAGTGGATTGCCCGAAAGAAAAGATGAGAACATTCTAAATGATTTCGTCCAGCTGTGGCAAACGCTTCAAGTGAAACTAGAGCCAGTGCGTTCTGCCTTCCGCTTACGACCAAATGGTAAAAGCGAAGCTCCCGTTATCTTCAAATTGAGCTCGGCTGCAGATCGCTCTCAACTACTGAGAGCTGTAGCGAGATACTGCAAAGATAAGAGACGGTCGCTTGCTCTTACAGATGTTGGCCTCAGTATCGAAGGGAAGCTATTTATCCACGAATGTCTTACAAAAAGAAATCGAGAGCTAATGCACTTTGCTACCCACCTTAAGAAGCAAAAAATTCTAACGTCGGCGTTCTCTATTCGTGGGCAAGTGTTCGTCAGAGGTCGTCCGCAAACTGAAGCTGTAGTAGTAACCGATAAAGCAACTATAGAGAGAATTGCAGCTGCCAATAAGTAAACAAACATATGTTAATTACTTTGCGTTGTATCCACACTGTCATGTTTGAGCTAATATTCTCTTATATGTCATTTGTGTGCTTAATATTCTTTGCTTTGCAATGTAATCTTGTATATTTTGATCTCACTTATATTTATCTCCG